ATCCTGATCTCTGTATATATATATATATATATATATATATATATATGAATATACATATATATATGAATATATATATACATATGTACATTTTGTTTATTGTGTGTAAAAACATATAAAGGTTTTGTTTGTTTAATGCTATTTAAAAAAAAAAAAAAAAAAAGGAAAACTGTTTCCAGTTTTATTATTATAATATTTGCCTACATCCAGCCGGTAAAAAAATAAATAAAAAAACAAACAAAAAAAAACATTGTAGTTTAGTTAAAAGTTTGTGTTTTATATTTTGAAAAATCACTTTTAATCTCATCAGAAGAGATATTCAGAATTAGCTGGTGGTATCTAAGAATGATGCTCTAGTTGCACTTGGTTTTGCTTTTAAGTAAGTTACTGGATATTTAAGGGCAAACAATTTTTCTTGACATGCCATCTTCCATTTATGGAAGATTTCAACTTGTCAGTAAAAACTTTGATTTAATAATAAAAAAACTAAAAGAAAAAAAATCACCATATATGTCAATTACCCAGGGTTACAAGTCCTTTGCTTAAAGCTGTAAATAGGATGGGTCAGATCTGTGCAAAAATCATTCAGTTGTTGTAAATTTCAATTTTTGACATAGATAGTTAGAGCTCCATTAAGAAAAATATTCAAAATCACCTGACTGACAGAGTGTAGCGGCTCTATAGCTCTCAGGATGCTCCTCTATGTTGTGGGCAAATCCGGCAATAAACTGCAGGATCTTTGTTTGCTTTACCTTAAATATTTAAAATGTCTTAAGGATCACCCAATTGAGTTTTTCAATGGTATACAAACTCAAGAGGTGGTGTTGCTTTTCTTTCCTGTTCATGTTTTTATAATCATTGTATGAGAATATAATTGGTCATTTTCATTCTGTTTCATTGTGTTTTTTTTTTTTCCTAAATTTTCCTGCAGCATTTTGGAGTGGTGTGAATATGCAAGGTAATAACACTATTTTGTCTAATACCACCAAACTGCCATTTCTATTTCATGTCTATCTTGTAAAACCAATTCTACAAATCATTAACCTGAGCTGGTGTTTGATTGAATGTTTTTTTTTTTTTTTTTATTACAGCAACCGGAGAAATAGAAGTACAAAATTTTGCAGAATATATTCAATTATCTTGTAAAGAGAAAAACATCTCTGGAAATAGTTATAAATCCACCAAGAGTTTGAAACTGTATTACCGCGATGATAACAGTGGGGAATACCAGTGTGAGAATGTAGAAGGCAAAGAAGGAGAAAAAATATTTGTAAAACTACGGAGTAAGTTCTACAGAAATGTTTTTTCCTGATAAACTGTCATTGCATCAAAGTATTTCTTTCTTTTTTTTTAATCAAATTTGTAATTTAATTATATATGTATACAACCTTCATTTGATGCTAACAAGAAACCAAGTGTTGACATCAATTATTTAAGTAATGATTTGTTTGTTTTTAGCGTGCGACAACTGTGTAGAGCTTGATACCCCCTCCATCGTGGGCCTGGCGGTCGGAGACGTGGTGGCTACCATCGTGGTTGGAGTGGCCGTCTATCTGATCGCTACTCAAGCTCGGACTAGTCAAGTTAAACCTGCCAAGAAAAGTAAAACCCTGCCTGTCTTTATCTCCCATGTATAAAATACACACTTTTAACATATGAAATCTATCTGATACAGTTTTTTCTCAGAAGGCCCTTTCCATTAAATATAGGCGTTAACTTAATTCATATGGCTATGGTTATAAAGTAAAGCGATATATCTTGCTAATGGAAAGAAATGAAATTGCCACAGCCAAAACACATGATGGTCTGATTAGGGCTTTGATGATTCCTCGATTAATTCGAAGAACTCGATCACTAATATTAATCGGGCAAATTTTCTTCCAGCCGTCATCCAGGCGGGTGGCTTCTGCTAATGATAGCCTACCCTGTTGATAATGCGGTTATGCACAATAAAGGGGGGTCGGGGTGATAGAAACAGGTAAAAAGGAGCGCAGAGAAAGACATAACACTCTAAAAGTATATGGTCCCTTTAAATTTAATGGCTGGAATGGTCCTAGCTTTGGACACTGCAGCTCAACTCTCAGCCCCGATCAAAATCTATTTTTATATGTTTTTGTAACCAAAGACAAGGAGCGTGTAACTTGACCTTAAAGATTTCTAGAAGAGTTCAGATTTATTTAAATAGAGTCCCATTTTCTTAAAGTAAAAAGATAAATATATTTTAAAAAAGCAATCCAGAACACTGGTGCAAGTGGAACTTTACACATTTTTTTTAACAGCACTGCTTTATTTAACTCTCGGCCAAATTGATGAACTGAAATGAACTTAAGGTGAGAATAATTTAGTTGTCTTTATATTGGAGACTAAAACTGTAGAAAACAAATATATATAGATTACTCTATGGATTTTGTTCATGATTAATCAAGTAATCGCACAAAAAAGTAACATTCAGCAGATTGTGCATTTATTGCTTAAGCTTCTTTTAACAATAATAAAAATACATGCAAAAATACTAATGATTCAGTTCTTATTTGAACAGCTCTGTGATAAAATGGTCATAAACAAAACAAGTGATTCTTTTTTTTTTTTTATTAATTTTATTTCAAAAGCATCTTTTTATTTAAATGAAATAGAAATCCATAACCAGAGGTACACAATTCTTGCTTTTGGTTCCAAAAACAATCACAGAATATTGAATATTCATAAAAAGATAAACAATTTATTTATTAGTAATGTAATATACTTTGCAATTGTTTATCTAATACTTTATAGATGGTAAAGGGAACCTAAATATTAACTCTAGATGCTGATGGTTGTAGGCATCCTGTAGCGGACTGTCTTACAACTGTTCTGATAAAGGCTTCTGCCTGACAACAGTTTCGCTGGTGAAGATTCTCAGTTATCCAGATCATAGTCATTCCAAAAAAGTAAAAAAAACAACAACAATCCACTGGATTTTGTTTCCAAGTTTGAAGACGTTTCACTTCCCATCCAGCTTTTTCAATAAAAAATGTCAGAATTTGTGTGCTGTCTAGAGTACTGTATAAAGCCTTGGAACTCAATGCTATTTCTGACACCTTCAAATTTGGAAACAAAGTCCAGTGGACTGTTTTTTTAAATTTATTTATTTATTAATTTTTTTTTACATTTTTTGGAACACTTTCATATATATAATAATAATAATAATATCGTAATAATGATATCGTGTAATCAAGGTTGTCTATAATGTCCAGGGCTGGAAATACAGGGTATATTATAAGGGTTATTATAGTTTTTATTTTTAAACCTTACCTCTGACAAATAGCATTCTTACACTTGATTAATTTCTTCTAAAATATATTTATTTTTGAAACCACTCAATGTTTGCATATGTACCTAATCATGGTCGGCCGCCACAAGGGAAAATACCTGGGCTAGGTTCTGGCCCCAGTCCAAACACCGTAAAGATAACTGAGGTTTAAGTGTTATTGATGTCATCCTCCCAGTCTCCTAAAACAGAAACATAGACAACTTAGAGTATCTTTGGATCATTTTGTCTTCATTTTAATGTCGCCCGCAGAGTCTGATAGGGAGAAACTGGTTCGTAATGAAGTGCAGAATGACGACAACTACCAGGTGAGCCAGTTCAGGGTTTTTATGATTCCATTAATTATTCATTCATTATGATGAATCAATGATCTCTAAATTCACTTTGGACTTTACTGTTTCAGAAACTGATACACCGAGGAAGATCTGAATATGATGAAATCAATAAGAAGTAGAAAGAAGTCAATGCTAAATCTCCCACCCTCCACCTCCGTGAAACTGCAAACTATTTTCTTCTGGAGGAAGATCCCGATCCTGCTCCCTCAGTCTCTGTCAGCACAGAGACTTAAATATAAAAAACGTATTCTATCCACTGATATAATTTTCTCTGTATTGCTTTGCTTTATAAAAGTAAGCCATTGCTTTAATAATGTGTCTCTTCTTGGTTAAGTTACGACTGTTTAGATGAACTTAACTGTTAAAGAACATTTCTTTTTGTTGCTTTCATGTTTCACAATATTCTGTAAATAAAAAAAATCTGACGTAAAATAAATATCTGCATTAAAATGGCAAATATTTGTCACTTGTACAATTAAGTGTATTTTTATTATACTATTTTAGATAAACTGCATTTTCTTGTTTTTAGACCTCATATAACCTCAGATATTATATCTTATTTAATGATTTTCAGTGCCTTTTCAGTTCTTCCCGTTAGAACCACACATTTCCACATATTGTCAAAATGATTTGATATAACAGAGAAGCTTAAAAATTATCTATTAATGTGGAATTAAATGTTTTTAAAATGTTTCTTTTACAAATTCAGTTAAACTCAGTTTATCTGAAAGAACATCAAGTTTGAGGTTTAACTAAAAAATAATGAAAAATGAGAATTAATGTAGAATGTAGCCGAATGATGAAAATCAAATAAAAACATGAAATATTCATCTGTACTTTAAATATCTAAAAATATAACCTTTTGGCAATTCTTCTTTGCGAGCTGAGGCCCGGTCATATTAGCAAACTGCACTCTTGCCTTCACTTAGTCTGCTGCTACAATGTTTCTGCTGTAAAAAAGCATCTCCACAGCATGATGCTTCCACCACCATGTTTCATAGCAGGGATGATACTCTTAACTCTTTATAGGCCAAGTTACCATTTTTGATCACTTGCATACCTCTTACAAATGGAGTCCCCTCCGTCTCTCAATGAGGTCTAGAAGCACTAGATCTATATCCAGCCGTTCAGCAAAGATGCTGCTACATGGCTGTACATCTTACTTTCGCATTTGACCAAGTAGATGAGCCCTTGAATGATATATTATCTACAGTAAATGAAGTTCGGGAAAAAAAGTTAACAAGTCAATAAAAAAGGTAAAGAGCTAATAGAAAAGTTAATAAGCCTAGTTAACAATTATATTTAGGTTTATAAACTAAAAAATTTAAGTGCCAGTATCAGCATTAATGCCTCTAAGGTAATGTTATACCAAATAAAAACTGTTTTGTTTCACTCTAACTTGAATTCCTTACATTGACGTTGATTTCAAAGTATTTCACTCAGTGCCCTATAAGAGGTTAATGTAATGTGCTTTTCTGTTACATATGTTTTGTTTTTATTTGGTCACAGGACATTTCTTTCCACATTTTATGAAGGTTTCTCTAACAGTACATAACAGCTCTCTGCAGCTCCTTCAGTAGATATAGTATTTTTCAGTTAAGATCCACCTCATCAGCTGTTTCTACTTGTTAATCTCAGCAGGAGGCGGACTGACAAGGAGGAGGGTCAAAGCAAAACCAATACATAAACAAATAAACAATAGCTCTACCATTCACACAACATTAGATCTTTAACATTAATAATTTTGCAAAAAATGAATTAATCTAATTCTTAATAGGCTCCAACACAGTATTTTCAGGTGTATGATGATGGATTGAAAGGGTTCCTAATATTTTCAAAGCTTTGATTAATCTTGGTACTTCTCCATCTGACCCATTAGTGTTTTTCTTACCAATCACTATTAAACTAGTGGAACAATTTTAACTTTCTTTTATCTCTGAAATAGTTTCCACAAACTTAAAAAAAAAATCACCCCATGTAGCTTTAGTTGGTCTACCTAGAAATTCTAAGAGATATAAAAACAATCAAATATTTTATTGCTTTTTACCTCCACTGTCGCCGTCTACTTCTTTTGCAGTGAAAATCAAATAAACTTACATACATTACAAATGCTCTATAAGCAGTACAGTATCTCTAGTTATTCATTTTACTAAGTGACTTCCATAAATTCTTAAATTCTTTAAAATCACTTTCTTGGGTTTAAGAAACGCTACCTTTACCCGCATTTTCTTTTTTTTATGTTTTTTCCCCTTTATAATAAAAACTAAGGTAATGTCAGTCTATTGTGTGCTTGTCTGCTCCATGTATGCTAATAAAAAAAGTCTACAAATTAAATTTTATTCTATAAATCTTAAAGCTCAGAATTCGAAAGTTGGAGTAATATATTCTCTGAGATAGTGGCTCTCCAGTTAACTACTGGACACTCCTATTGTCTTTGTTTGTATAAGGCCATTAGGCTTACTATTAAAACAATAATTATAAAAAGACAGTTCTGTGCTGGACTTCTGTGCCTATACACTTCTTTGAATCACCTTGTCTACTACTGTAAAAGTGATATAGATAAAAAGAACTGTTCAAAACAAAGTAAAAATGTTTTACCGCTGCTGATGTGAGTAGCAGGTGTGCTGAATGTGAAATCTGTGGATCTTGTTTACCTGACTTTCCAACTTGTAATTGCAGTGTTTTCAAAATATTGTGGGGCACTGCCCATCTTTTTGATTGATTGATTGATTCAATTTACTGATCTCACAGTGGGGAAATTTACTAATTAAACCAGCTGAAATACTCAGAAAAATGTGCCAAATGAAAGAAAAAGGTGCATGGGATATATACACTATATACAGTGCATCCAAATATGACAGCTTTTTTTGTGTGTCTTTTTTCATAGTAGGATCATTATAACGGGCACAGGGTGTTTATATCGGTATTCATACAGATGGATATTTATATTTATGTATATAGTTATTGCCCTGGGTGTCAGATATAGAGAAACAGGTTATTGCATGGGGTATAAAATAGTAATAGTAAATTGTTTCTGATTACATTTCAAGTTAAAACAATGAGATCTTTATCAAACATAACCTCAGTTACATTGCGAAAAAAGAAGCTTCTCGATAACTATATCTCTGAGTTATCTGCCCCCTACCCCCCTGTTCTCTAACAAACCTGAGGCAAATAGCAGAATTCATACTCAGATTAAATCACACAAAGTTGGAGTCCGTTTACAACTTAGGTTTAGTTTGAAGAAAATCAACTGAATTGAAATTAATTAAAAAGATACCAGAAAAATTACTCCATAAAAATATTTGTACAGCGCTTTTCTAGTTAATTTGACCACATGTGAAGCGGTGATGGAAACTGCTGTTATGAAACTATGATGGTTCCCTCTGTTAAATACAGTTCAGGGTATTTTTCTCTTGTTTTACATTTTTAAGACTGTGAAACAACTTTATAAAAAGTTAATTGAGCTTTTCTAGTTTGCTTAAAATATTGACTTTAAAAATGGTACAAAAAAAAGATATATAAAACACATATAAGCTTCCTATCGGAAGGTCTTTTTTCATACATGAGGTTTGCACATTAGAGAACTATGCAGGGTATAGAAGAATATAAAATTAACAGTAAAGGTTACTAAACAGTAAGCGCTGCAGCAGGGACAGGAAACTGTTATTTTGGTCTAAAGTCACAGGGAGGCAGGAGTCCATCTATGTGGTTTGGGTCAGCACCATTTTATTTGAAAGACTCACAGAAAAACTAATCCTACATTATGAATTTGGAAGCCGGGGGTAATCTCTAGTTTAAATATTCAGTTGACATAACGTTCATATGTTTGTGCTTTCAAAGGAAACCAGATTTTACTGCAAAAAACCAAATAAATAAAAAAATTCAGAAAGTGTGGTAACAAATTACCTTTTTTGTCTTTTAAATTTAACCGGAAGTCAGAAGATTAAACAATAGCTTTAAAGCTTCCACACACACCCCGCACCAAAACCAATTTCTACCTTCAAGCATGCACACACACATTTTTTATGATACCTTACGTGTACTTTGAATATGTCTACCACAGCGCACGGCTGTTTTCTCTCTCTAGCATGTGAGCAGATGTAGGTCTGTGTGGGGGAGCGGTTTGTCTTGACACAGTCAGAGAAGAAACCATGGTTTACATTTCTTCTCCTTCACACAAACTTACAGCAGATGTAAATGAAGATAACTGAGCCGTAAGAGGGGGAGTGTTTCCACAAAACACTACGACTCTAAGCTGCATTACAATAAAAGTAGTCATCAATAATGATCCGCACGTAGAAGATCTGCTGCATCTCATTTCAGCCTTTCTTTTCCATTTAGTTTAACTGATTTCTGTCACTGCTGGGAAGAACAAAAAGAACCAAACAAAACATTATATGACGAAACCTTTCCATTTAATGTCTAAAATGTGAAATGAACAGAAACTCGGCAAGAAAAAGACTGAGAGACATTCTAGATGTTTCCATCACGTCAGTCTGACATGAGACATGAAGAGGGACGAAAAAACACCAAAGGCGATGGTGTTCTTTAGGCTTAGTGCTCCGGATATGACCTGCGGGTTTAAAACCGCCTCATGAATCATACAATCGTGTGTCTATTGAGCCATTGCAGCATCATTTCCAATTGTATGGAGACTCTAAAATGAGAAGAGGGTTTTCCTTATTAATAAAGCTTAAAGTTGGCTATGCTGAGCTATCTCTATAGTTACGCTGCTATAGGCTTAGACTGCAGGAGCACATAGGGACCCTTTTTCATCATTCTGCTTTATTCTCCCATTCTGCAGTATTTGTTAGTTAAACCCATAACTTTATGCTCTCTTTGCTTTTTCTGATCACAGTAGCTTCATCTGGTCTGTTACTGTTTGACTGTAACATCATCCTGGATAAATATCAGCTGTGCTGCTGCCATCAACACCTTTGTTTATAGATGTTGGAGCTTGGCCTGTTTTCCAGTGTAGTCCTGTTTCTCTACTGTGACTAACTGGATGTGCTCTCTTCATCCTCTTACATGGGAGCTGGCTCGGAGCTCATCTGCCTGGCTATGTGTTTCCTGGACGGGAGCTTGTTGAAAGCTGCTTTTTCTAACTCTGCTTTTATCTGTATGTCTGCTTCTGTCTCCTTGAACCCCAGTCGGCCGCAGCAGATGGCTGCTCACACTGAAACTGGTTATATTGGAGGTTTCTTCCTGTTAAAAATTTTTTTTTTCCTCTCCACTGTCGCTACAAGCATGTTTGTTGTGTTGGATTGCTGTCGAGTCAATGAGTCGATGAAATCAGCCGGTTATCCTTAGCTAGAAAACGATGAGCATATGTGACCGTGCCATATGGTTAAATTGTTCCTGTGAGGAGCATAGAGATGACGTGTCATGAATTGCCACAATATAAATAAACTGAATTGAAGTGAATCAAATTTATTTAAACAAAAGACACTTAACACCCGTACAAATCCAAAAACATCTGAATAAAATCAGAAATCTAAAAAGGAAATGAAATATAAGCAAAATGTAAGCATCGACATTAGTACACATTTATATTAATAAACAACAAGAAAACAAAGCATATATATATTTCAGTTTGATCATACAGAAGTTATCAAAGCCAATAATGAGTTTGAATATTCAAAGCAATATATCTACAGTAGACTGCATGAAAAGGCTCTTAACGGGAAACAATACCGGCACAAAAAAAGTGGTAATGGTAAAAGAAATCCAACTTTTACATTCTGAGGTTTGTATAATTAAATGATTTGTTCTTTATCAGCAAACAAAATGATCTCAGTTCATCTCTAGCTGCATAAAGGCTCACAGCAGACTATGGTCATATCGTCACCATCAAACCAAAGCACCTCAGTGAACAGGTGGTGCACAGACTGTTAAGAGATAATAGAGCTGACAACATTTGTTGGTTCAGTTTTAATGTTTCAAGGTTGTTTGGCTTCAGTTTGTAGATGGAATCCCTACATTTTAGTATGATGGCCTTTAAGAAACGGGACATTTGCAGTAATTCAAAAGTTAAACTCTCTCGACTGGTCTTACTAATGCCTGCATCACACCTGTACGAGGAGTTAAAAAATTGGAAATGTATCGTCTAATATTTGGAGAGGTCTTTATCCGGTTCTGCTTCCTGTACCTCCGGTCACCACAGTAGAGTAGGTGTCCGTGACTCGAGTGGTTGGGTTGAGCCTCTGTAAAAACAGAAAGATGGTGGGATCATAGAGCTCATTGGCATGGATAACATGTAACACCAGACTTTTAGAGCCAAACTCTCATAACTTAGGTTAAGATTCTGCAAACAGTGCTTTTAAATGTTAATCACTTCTGAAACATGCAACATGCAGCCAAAAAGTCTCTACTAGCTATCTACAACAAATTTAGGCCCCGTCTACACAAAGCCAAACCCTGGCCTAAACGCACAAATTTTTCACCAAACCAGCCTCTCATCCACACGAAGCCGGCGTTTCGGGGGTCTGTAAACGATCTTTTTTTTTTATTAAGCCTTCAGAGTGGGAAGATTTTGAAACGCTGTTTTCGCGTTTCCATCTTTAAGCTCTAACCGCATTTTTTTTCTTACACGCATGCGTCATAGCGTCGCGTCTAAACACGCATGCGCGACACAGTATCACAACAACAATGGCGCCGTGCTGTGTTGAATGGTTGCTGCTAATGCTACTCACCCTGCTGTCGGGCTTACAACAGAATCTTCTTCTTCTGGAATATCTCCAGGAAGAACAGAGCAATATCGACGACATAGTTCAGCACCTGAATTTGACTGAACCACGAACCGGTTTTCCGGTTTGGTTGTTGTATAAATATGACTGCGCATGCCCAAAATTTCGTTGCCTGTTTTTGCTTTGGCACCACAGCGCCACTTACAGGCCTGGCATACAGTTTGCGGGGTTTTCATGCATTCGTGTGGACGATCACATTTATTTTACGTCTCCGTCTTTACGACAAACGTTCTGGAAAATATTAGCTTTTCGTGTTCGTTTTGACTTCGTGTGGACGGGGCCTTAATCAGATGAACATCTGATGCTTTCAAAAAAGGAAAAAATAAACAATCCACTGGACTTTGTTTCCAAGTTTGAAGACGTTTCGCTTCCCATCCAGGAAGCTTTTTCAATTCAAAGTGTCAAAAATAGTGTTTAGTTTGAGGCTGTAGCCCAAACAAGCTTTGCTTCTGCTTAGAAAACATGCAAGTTGAAACTTCTGACATCTGACACGTTTTTTTTTTCTGGTGGATGAGACAACTAAGCTCAATTATTAGGTTAGATTAGTTTATTTTGACTTGGAAAACAAGGCATTGATCCTCACAAAGGATGCTGTGAGTGAGTTTGGATCCTAATATTTGGGGCTAACCAAAGACCACATATCTCTTTTAAGTTTTGTCCGTTTAACTGTTTGCTGGTTTTTAATTAACACAAAACCTTATAGATAACTAATAAGAGAACAAAAATTCCCCAAATCCCCTGGATGACAGAATGTGGTGAGGTACAGACATTATTAATCAACCAGCCGCACTTGCTATAAGAATTTAAGTAGGATCGATTGTTAAACTTGCTTCTTTGTCAAAAGTAAAGGGCTCTCAAATGAAAGATTTTTTTTTTCAAAGAAACCTAAATACTAAACTAAACCTAAATTTCGTTAAACGGCACAATGTTGCAGCATCTAATGTCAAAGTGACCGATGTAAAAATCATTTTCTGAATGGTGTTTAAACAAATTCTTATAGGATATATCTTTCTTTCAAACTCTGGCATATATTAGCTTAACTTGTCTGTCAGAAACATCTGAAATCTTGACCTAACTCGAGCAAACAATGAACAGCCACTCATGCTTTATTTTGGAAAGTCAAAAAACCTCATTAGAATGAGCATTTTTACTATGATTTTATGATCAGTGAAGTGAATTCAAACTCCTGACAATTAATCAGGTCCAGCGTTTAAGAAATTCAATGGGTCAGGATTTTGTTATTAGAGTGTAATAACAATTTGACTTGTTCATGATTTCTTCTCAGGCACAAAAATGAAATTAGTGACACATTATTTTGTTATAGAGTAGTTTTTTATAATACTCACCTCATAGGCTGAGTCTTCGGGATATGCAGCCCGATTCTTCGCTGGTTTTGAACGCTCTTTAGGGACATGAAGAGATTTATGTTATAATTTTTCTCTCTACTCCAAACAGATGGTAATTTAATCAAAGGACTTGCATTATGCAACTAAGCCTTACGTTGGGCCACGGGGGGTGGCTCAGCTGAGCTTTTCTTCTTGCAGCACCTGTAGATTATCACCATCACAACAATGCTCCCGATTGCATCTGCAAAGATGATCGCTATGAAGTACTCTCCCTTCAGTTCAATGCAGTTTTTACAGGCTGAAGGAGAAAGGACAGAAATGGAAACAAGAGTTAGACCAATAATTGACTCAGTAGGTTCAGAATATATGATTATGATTTTACTTACTCCTTCCTCTGACATAGAAGTGATAGTTTTCTCCATTGTAGTGACATTTGTATTGTCCTTGTTCGTATTCAAAGTCGTATGAATTGCTTGTTTCTGAACGAGGAATCTTTTTATCTCCCTTATACCAGTCTCCAATTCCAGGACAGGTTAATATGACTTTTTCATTCTGGAAATCCACTCCTCCTATAAAGAGTTATAAAATTACTTCTTTGCAAGATTTTCAGTTTTTGACAACATTAGAAACACATTTCCCTTCCTGTCAGAGCTGACATCAGCTCCAATGTAAATGTTTATACAGGTCATATTTTTTTCTTCAAAGCTAATAATGATAATTAAATGTAACTACACCCATACATATTCCAACAGACACCTTATTATTGAGGAAAAACAGCATCATCATAATATGTCTATAAACAGCAAAAAAGAGCAGTTGTTAGCAGACAAGGAACATTTAGACAGGAAATGGTGACGATGCTAACAATCGCCATATCTAGAAACTAAATATCTTTTTTCTTCTAAAGTTAAAGCAGACTTAAAATTCTGCAATGTGAAGCAACATAATGTAAAAATAATTACATATTTACCTTCTTGAGTCTTCACGGTGGCTGCAAACATGAGGAGGACGAAGATCACGGCCTGAAATGCCATCCTTTATGACCTTATTGTCTATTTGTTGATATTTTGATGTTTGGGTCAAATCTGTAAAAAAGCTCTAAAAAGATGTTATTTATACTAAACAGCTTTTTTCAGTCAGAAATTCAGATAAATCCAAATTGGAGCAGGTGGTTCTCTCCTCGACTGTGTCTCTAGTGAACACTCACGCACACACACGCTCGGTCCCACAGGAAGTCTTTCTTTCTTTTTTTTTAAAGATGAATTCACAGTCAAACCATCAAATGAAGTCTACATGTAGTACTGTGTGCAGAGAGAGACCTTAGTTTGCTTCCTGATTGAATCCGGATCAAGAACTGTAGGGGAATAAAAAACTAAAACAGAACCTGAATTAAATGACAGAGAAATTGGTTTCAGTTTAGATCAGGAGAGGCAAATACAGTTTTTACACATTACTCTAAAATACTTGGGCATCAGCACCTTTGTTTTACATAAACATATAGACATAAAAAATCCTTTTACATCACGTTTTTTTCTGTTTTGTTTCAGTCTCTACTTTGTTTAATTTCTTTGCTCCATTTGGTTATTTTGTTCTTTTCACACTATTATGCTAAAAGCTCCAGTCTATTGTATTCTTGTTTTATTTCTTTGGAAACTCAGCTTGGCAATTTTTTTTTCTTTAAGATTAAAAAAACACATATTTTTTTTTTTTTTTTATGTATTCCACCACCCTGTCTTTAGATTGCAGTTTCTAAGGCTGCATCTCATTCACTGATACATCACTCAACTCTGCTTAAAAAACTCACCCAAAATGCAATGAACAGATGCAACATTGGAAAGAACAGTGATCTTTCTTTTCTGTCATTTTGTTTTATGTTATTTATGACACATATAATTTGTCCAGTTACACTTTAGATGGGATTTGTGCATGTTAGTGCAAAAAAATCGTAACTCTGTGTGCCTCTTTGCCATTATACATGTTTTGTTATAAGTAACAGTTCATAAAGATTTTTTTTTTTTTTTTTTTGTTACATAGAAAGTACCTGTGTGTGATTTAGTGCAGGGCTGCCACCTGGTGGTTAGTTCAACAAAAATTGCTATCCTTAAATTAACAATGAATAACCCATCATTGCTGGGAGGGTAAAGCACACTGGAAAAACAATCTAGAAATAGGTCAATATTTCTTAAATTAAATGTATTTACCCTTAATTGAGCAGGTAAATAAGATAATCTGCCAATGGAATGAGTAATTTTACTCTTAAAATAAGATAATTAGATAATATGCACTTGAAATAAGACAAACCAATTGTGTTTTCTTATTTTAAGTGTAAATTGTCTTGTTCCTTTGGCAAAATGCCTCTTTTACCTCCTCATGTCAAGAAAAATGCACTTATTTTAACAAAAAATTACTTATCTAGATTTGGATTTTTTCCAGTGCAGACCCAGCGGTATATAAAAAAAGGGAAAATTGATCAACACTAAGGTTATAGTAGATATGTGAAGATTTATTACTTTTACATTGATTACACAAGCCAAGAAACTACAAAAAAAACATGATAGAAAGAAGATTATTTCTATAAAAAAAAAAATCTCAGATGCAGATTTAATGTTTGGCCCGTAAAATGACAGGTTTTTCCATGTGGAAACAAGCACTAATACTTTAGAACCATAGAATCAGATAAACGCTTACAGACAATCCAAGGCAGTGACATTTTGCACGGATTTGCATTTTAACACCAAAATATAAAGATAAAGAAAATGTTGCTCATAAATGTTCACACTATACTTTGGATTGCTTAATTACTCTGCTGATGAAACAAAATACATTATGTGTTTTTTGCAGTTTCTGCTGATCTAATCTATACGGTTTAAAGTCTTTCAATGCAGAATATTACTGTCAATTAGTTTCTTTTTTTATTGGTTCAATATAAAAAGGTAAAAATAAAATAAAACATGTTGGCAATTGCTCTAAATATACATGCATTTTTTCAATTTGTATGCAAACTTTACAAATTATTTACCAATCTGTTTATGAAGCACTGTATAGCAATATTGAGATAAAAAAGACAAATAATTCTAAAATGAATTTTACAATGAATAATTATAGTGGCATAAAATCTTAAAGAATAAAGTTTGATTTTTCTGTATGCCTTTGGGAGGCATTATTGCTTATTTTATTGATCAATTGTAAATGTTTGCTTCTTCTGACCTTCCCCATGATAGGCGTCTATCCTGTCTTGTGCACCACAGCAGAGTACGTTTCCGTTGCTTGAGTGCTTGGATTCAGCGACTGCAAAGACACAAACCAAACAAGGTTTTAGTTGATATGGTTGGGTTGCAGTTCACAAACAAAACAGTAAAGAATAATTTGAATAAAATCTAACTTGGTTTCCAGCTAATTTACTTACGAACTAACTTGAAAGGTTAAACTGTACTGCTCCCTTTGAAAAGCACAAAATTAAGCAAATTAAACAATAAAAAAGTCCCTTTTTGTCAGCTAACAAACAAATAAACCTGGATAAAAAAATTAAATTAATTATCTCATTCACAGAAATGTCAACAGTAGATAAAAAAAATATATAATTTCCCCTGCCCATCCATTATAAAAAATAATACACT